TTTAGAAACAAAGTATGATATGAATGACTCTGGAAATACCTAAACTTCTTCATTGAACTTGTAAACCTCCTAAACCAAGCTCTAGGAGATTGTTTCAAACCATACAAAGTTTTTCGCAATTTGCACACAACACATTTTCCAGGAGATATTCCGATACTAGGTGGGAGATCCATATAAACTTCCTCCTTGAGATCACCATGGAGGAAAACATTCTTAACATCAAACAGCAATATGGGCCAATCATGATTTATTGCTATGGATAGAAGAACACGCACAATATTAAGTTTGGCAACATGAGCAAAAGTCTCCTGATAGTCCACCTCATAGGTTTGAGTATAACCTTTACCAACTGATATGGCTTTGTATCAGTCAATAAAACCATCTGCTTTATGCTTAATAGTGAACACCTATCTATATCCAACAGCTTTCTTCCTTTTTGGCAAAGGAACCAAATCCCAAGTGGAATTCTTTTCCAAAGCTTCCATCTCAACATTCATGACATTAACCCACTTAGGGGCAAGCAAAGCATCCTGCAATTTTGTTGGAATTGATACACTAGATAGCTGACATATGTAAGATGCATATGGTTTGGACAAATGATGAGTAGACACATAATTGTTAATTGGATACTTAGCTTTGGCATGCATATCAGGTTCATATTGTACTTTAGGTTTTCCACGATTAGCTTGTGGAGGCAACTGATAAGTAGAAGAATCATCAGAATTTACCTTATGTATGTCACCATCTTGTACCAAATCGTTAAAAGAATCATCATTGGATGAACCATCATCAGGCAACTCGTTAAACATACCAGCATCAGGCAACTCGTTGGGCACATCCGACCGGTCGTCAATAGAAATAGTCTTCAGAATGACAGTTAACCGATCACTATCTATAGCTGACTGATCAGTATCGCACAACACAATAGGTTATGTCCCTAACTCTGCATGTAACACATCCTCCATGCCATCTCTTCGAATCTGCACTTCACTCCCTCTCTCATCCTGAAGTGAGGAGTTGGAAGAGGGCTTCACAAAATACAGAACTTCCTCGTGGAAGGTGATATCCATAGTAATATAAGTTTACGAGCACATGCATCAAGTTTACTCCATTGATGAGAGTAGACATGCACATACGCTATACACCCAAACACTTTCAGAGGAAGTTTAGATATAGAAATAGGAGAAACACGTTTTTGTAGCATATCAAGCGGTGTCTGAACATCAAGAACCCTACTTGGAACATGATTCATCAAATACATAGCAGCCAAAATTGCATTTCCCACAAATAATTAGGAACACATTTATCCAACATCAAGGAGCGAGCAACCTCCATTATTTGACAATTCTTCCGTTCGGATACACCATTTTGTTGGGGTGTAAACGGAGTAGTCGTTTGGTGAATAATACCATGATCACGAAAAAAGCATGCGAAAGTATAATTCACATATTCTCCTTCGTTATAAACCTGAAGACCTTAACTTTGGTCTGAAACTAAGTAAACACCATTGCACAAAATTCTTGAAGAAGCAAAGTGACATCATTCTTATTCTTCATCAAGAACACCCAAGTTAATCGAGTACAATCATCAATAAAAGTAACAAACCAATGGAATCCATTAGAAATGACTTTCACTGGACCCCACACATCAGAATGTATCAAATCAAATGGCAAAGTAGCTTTAGAATCACTTATGGGAAAGGAAGCACGATGACTCTTTACCATGACACATGTTTTACACTTGAACTCTAAATCACTACAAGTACGAAACAAAGAAGGAAATAGATGCTTCATATAATTAAATGATGGATGTCCCAAACGTTGATGCCATAACCAAATTTGATGTCTATCATCCACTTTAGCACTTAGAACTTGATGATTATTTGAACCTTAAACAATAGTATCCTCCATAGTCAAGATGTACAAACCCCCAATTCTTTTACGACGACCAATTATCTTCTGAGTTTGAATATCTTGAAAATAACAATACGTGGGGTAGAAGTGAGCAGAACAATATAAGGTATCAAGTAGTTTTCCTACCAACAAAAGATTGCACTTAACATTGGGAACAAGTAAAGCATCGTCAGAGTAAGAGAGATAATGCCTTCACCCTTCATAGGGGAAGGTGCTCCATTTGCATTAGTAATATACGGATCACAAACTTAGTCACGTAACTCATCAAACACTCAAGGGTCACTGGTCACATGATCAGTGGCCTTAGTATCAATTATCCATATATTTGTTCCACCAAGATGCATAACAACATTATGATTATATTTAGTCATTTAGCTAAACCACGAACAATAAAGGCACAAAAGATATGCAGTAGAATTAAGACAATTTACCAGAACACTGATCAGGGGCACTGCAGTATATCACAATTCACAGGCACTGTAGCATATCATTGTTCATGGCATTGTATTGCAGCATTGTTCTCTCTCTCTCTCTCTTTCTCTCTCTCTCTCTCTTTTCTGAACGAAGAAAATCACAACAAAAGTGGGCACAAAATTAAAGCACACAAGTCACCAAGAACGAACTGCTCTGATGCCAAGTTAAATTAAACATGGTAAATACCAAAATTATATATATGACAATATTTGGGAATTTCTTGTATATTCATTAATCTCCAAAGTGGAATATATATAGGAGTTACAATTGGTATAACATATGCACTTCGTCAATATGGGATAACAGACTACTATTTACACTTTAACTAATATAAACCTTGCAACAATAAGGACTAGCAGTAATGTAGTTCAATAGTTTTCATTATTAGTAATTGTTAGTTTTAAACCCCTTGTTGCTTCCTCTTTCTCTTCATAATTTCAAATTTCTTAAATCAATATAAATTTTTATCAAAGTTCCCTGTGCTGTTATCTGGTTTTGATAGATGACTTATATATAGTTTCCAATTTCAAAAACTTCAAACATTTTAAAAGAAAGTGGATAGAATTAAGTTGATTTGAATCAAATCAACTTATTGAAACCTGCATGGTGATCAAGCATCTAAATAAAAATCAAGTGCATTATGATTAGCAAAAGATATCAATAAAGAAGAAAAATTTGATAATAACAATGCCACAAAATAATTAAGTATTCATGATTGGGCTACATCATAACCCTAAAACAGAAAAACAAACAAAGATACTCATTCTCCCTTGCCTCTTCCTTGCCTCAGCCCCTATCTGGAATCGTACGCATTTTTTTTTTCTTCATTTGTTGGCTGACTGACTAAAAAACAAGGAGTATGAATCTCCTTATTATAACCTCATGGCAAGAATTGGAAAGGTTAAGTAGAAAATGCCAAATAAATGATCACTAATTCTAGCTCTAATGGACTTTCAAGTCTTTATTAAAGAAAATAAAAATAATGGAAAAAATAAAAACTAATAATTAAGTTCTTTCCTAAACTCCATTGAATAGCATCCCAATGTCCATTTGATTTCCAAAACCGATGTAGTCTTATGCATTTGTCTTGGTGCGGTTGATTAGCCTCTTTCTCCACTGAAATTACTCTAGACACTCGAAAAGCTCAAAATTTCACTTCTTTTTTCCATAACTCCAATATTGAATGCTTAAAGATAAAAACAACATAATTTAGTACATTTAACCCATTCGAATATACAAAGCCAAAAACAAATAGATGATAAAAATATATATGAACATGACCACAACAAATACTCCAAACTTAGACTTTGCTTGTCCTCAAGCAAAACAAGAGTCGACAAAAAAAAAAAAAAAAAAAAAAAGCTAACTTCCAAATTTTAATCTTAGAGAAAACCCAACCATGAGATAACTTTCAAGAAATAAGCAATAATAGTTCAAAATATTATCCAAGAGTTAACCAAATTTGAACCAAACCAATTTGGAGTGTAGTGTGTTTAATAGTTATGTCAATGCAATTCCAAGCTTCTTAAAATCATCATATGCAAATAAGTGAACTTCTAGTGAGGCAGACACTCGTTCACTCATATTTGCGGGTTAATATGTTTCACTCAAATGATCTCATTATACATACCGCCATATGCTTGCTTGTCCACCTAGCTCACTATCAATATCAAGTAATATCTTGGATAAAAAGATCTTTCACAAGGTTGTAATGGGGTTGAGGTAATTGGTTAAACAATGAAGAGTATGGAAAACACAAAGTCGAAGGAAAGAGTAGAACATTATAATATTTCTGCACACTAGAGATATCCAACTATACTTTCAAAACATTTGAAGCACTTTGAACATAAGCACATAATTTTATATTTGAACATTTCACGACACAATTTTTTTTTCTTTCCCCTTTTATTTTTTATTTTTTATTTTTTATTTTTATTTTTTTTTTTTATAAATTGCTCTACAAACTCCTTAGAAGGGTAGGAAATTTTACATAAGGCTAGAGAAGGAATACTTGGGTTTAAGAACAAAAAGGCTTATATAAGGGTTTAAAAGGGCTAACTAAGAAAAAGAATTAAAAGGGTTAGCTAGAAAGCCTCAAATGGAAGGAAAAAAATGCCTATGTCATTTCCAATGTTTTACATGAATTGATGAATGCAACAAGAGGTATAAAGCAAGTCCTCATTACAACAGTTTGAGTCTTTTACGACTTGAAATATACGGCGTATAGTATTGACATGCCTTAAATGATATTATTCACGACATTCGTAAAGTTCATGTCATAATACTTGCACATAATCTAGCATTTACAACATCACTTTTGTACAAGTCGTTAAATAAAAATATTTATAGCTTAAGCGTAGTGTGTCGTATTTGATAATTTACACGATGCACTTTCCTTCTCTTTTAAGACATCGCATTATGTCGTAAAGTGAATTTTCTATATATTTGGATCCCTACCTTTCATGGCACAAATGATACATCATAAATAATGACTTCTAGCTTCGCGCCTAGACTTTCCCACTCTACACCTAACATTTTTCTCAAACTTCTCCCTCTTCTAGCTTCGCGCCTAAACTTCAAATTTAAAGTTTTATTTTCTTTTTGCTTCACAACTTTTTAAAGAAGCATTAAACTTAAAAACTTGATTCTCTCTCCCTTTCACAAATGTCCAACTCCTCCATTTTCTCTGCTCTCTTCCCCTTCATTCTCCCGTATCCTCTCCCCTCTTCTCTTTCACGCAACGACACCGCCATCCTTTGGTCACCAACGACCGTCAAATTATACCTCCAGAATCCTCTTCCCGTCCTTTTTCCAACCCCCAAGTTAGTTTCTACAAATTCGTAGCCGAATTTCCTCAATTTTAGATCTAAGAAACAGTGACCTTGGGTTTTCTAGCCAATTTCCAGCCAAGTCTGCCGGAATCGGACCTCAACCTAAGAGGTAAAAATGATCCTCTCCTCCCGGGCTGTTCTCTAGTGTAACTGCTTTTTCAAAATAAAAACTTTCAGTTGTGGGGTCGATTCTAGATTTCGAATTTTAATTCCGTTTTCTGTATGCATGTCGAAGATTGGGAACAAGGAAGGATGAATTAAGGTTGTTTCCAACCTGGACCGACAAGAATGGAAGGTTGTGTGGGTAATCCCTTTGCCTTAGAAGATTTCTTTGGTCCATCCGAAGAAAAGATTCCATGGTAATCCCTTTGCCTTGTAAAATTGACATAATTGGTGCCCCTTATTCTAGGAAAAAGAAAAATTGGTGTTTAAGATTGTTTGATTTTATCCTATATCTCCAGAAAAATGAAAAACTGGTTTTTCAGAATTTGAAAATTGATCTGTCTCCAACAGGTTATGAATATGAAGTTGGCTTAGGCGATTATGTTATATAGTGTAGGTTGGAGTTTGGTAGGTCTGTGGTGAATACTTTTCCCATTCTATGGCTTAAGGTATGTAGTTAGGGATTTAAGATTGAAATAAATTGGGGTTTTCTAGATTTGAATTTAGGGATTTGGATTTTGTCAATTCTGGAATCAAATGTTAATTATAATTTGTTTAATTTTTGGCAATTTGAGTGCAAAATTAGGGTTTTGTTATTTCAAGTGCTGACAGTAAGACTCTTTGTCAATTAGTAACTACTTAGTGCTTGTTTTTGATCTGTCATCGAATTCAAAATCGCGGCTTTTGATTTTTAGTTTACAAGTCATCATAAGGAATAGATAATTGTAGAATTATAGTGCAAACTCTTGATTTTCAATTTCAGACTTGGTTCTGTTTCAGTTAATTATGGTGTTGGGGATTTGTTAATTTTGCTCTCTCTCTCTCTCTCTCTCTCTCTCTCTCTCTCTGTGTGATTTATTTGGGATTGCAAAGTGACTTGGGTTTCTTTGTATGCATGTCCCGGACCTCCAGGTCACATGGGGTACTCAGCAAGGTTCTACTTTTGCAAAGGAGATGGAGATGTTACAGACTTACAGTGATACTGCAATCCTAATAATCTGTGAGTATGTTGTAGTAGTAGAATAACAGTGGGCCTTAGCCTAGTACTTAAATTATTGACTTTCTTGCTTAGCCTAGTACTATGTGAGTGTTCTAGTAGTAGTGTAGTACTTTGTTTAGTTTGTACTATTGGATAAAAATGATAATTTGATTGAGTTCCCTTGGTATGATTTATATTCACTTATTTATTCTATTTCTTTTAACTATTTTTCAAGTAGCATTGAAGTCTTTGGTGAATTTTTAAACAAAGAGGTTGCAAAATGTGGTGGTAATGAGTGGAAAAGTTTATACTTAATTTTATTAGTATTAAAGTCTTTATCAATTTCTAAATTAACAATTTGTTTTGACTAGGTCTTAACTTACCAATCGAATCCATCTCCCTTGACTAGCTAGAGTATATTGATTGGGAACTCTATCCGTTCCCAGCGCCTAGTTTCCAAAGACGAAGTTGAGACAGGTTGGGAACTCTCTCTTTCTCTCCTTTTGTTTTAGTTCCCAAGAAAGTTGATTGGATTGAAGAAAATGGAACAAAAAGAAATGAAAAAAAATTGAAATTTGTTGGTGCTTCTGTTGATGTTGAATTTGTAATATATTAAGACCCAAAAACTAGATAAATGGCTAACTTTGATGTAAATTGATAACAGCAAGCCACTAGGTCAAAAAACAGTGAGTCTTACCTTAGAGTTTTTGGGATATCATGATTGATAACCATATCCACTAATCGAATATCCAATCTTCTATTTGCCGCATCAATTCTTCATGCGTGAAATGTTAGAGACTAATAAATTTATCTACTCGCAAGTATATGATTTTTATGCAGGTTATAGGAAATAATAAAACTGTAAAGGCATAATTTGTGCATATTTTAGTCATTTGATACATGTATCAGTGTAAAACAATAAAACTATGAAGGCATAATTTGGGATTTAGGTTTGTATGACAATGATTAGGCTTTCTTTCAGTATCACTTTTCTTACTTGAGATTAAATGTGTATTTCTACATATAGCAATACAATAGATTTTCTTTTGCTCCATGTGTTTATGTCTATGCAGATAGAGATAGCAATTAGTGTGGTTCAAGCATTAGGAGCAGTATTTCACTCTCAAAGGACTTCGTTTGGAGGTGTTCAAGGAAAAGTGAAGTCTTTCAAGTGACAAATTTCTTTGTTATTAGAGGCCTATTTTGTATGTCATGTGTAGTTTGATTAGCTTTATTCAACTTGTAATACATTTTGACAATATGATTATTTATGAAATCTTGTATTATAGTAAATGTGTAATTTTGTTGATTCTTATATATACATATATATATATATTAAAAATTAAAATTAAAAAAAATGTAAATTACTGTATGCAAAATCAACCGTAATTGTTGATGCTAGTCTTTGTTTACGATGTATGACGCATGTTGTAATTGCTTTCACAGTATTATGACACTCAACAAATGCCGTATCAAATATAAATTACGGCACACATGTATGCTGTACAATATTATGGCACTTCATTAACACTGTATCTAATACCAATTACGACGCGCAAGGCACGCCTTAAAGAGCATTTACGACATGTTTTGTTTAAATTATTCACGGCTATTAGAGAATGTCGTATTTGACAACAGAGGCTTTTACTGCTTGGGGGCTCACGCCGTGAATAATCGTTCCCTTTTTGTGCGCCGCAAAAGACCAATTATGTTGTAGTGCCTAGAGATACATGTAAAATGAGATCATATGCACAAGAATAAATGAGATTGATGCATAATGGTTCAATCATAAAATAGGCTCAAAAGCTCAAGGGTTATATAGATCACTAAATTCACATATGAAGCATTAAATCATGCTCTAGTTTCACACCAACAAGGCTATGTGCATATAAGTTTTCCAAGTCATGATCATAAAAAATATGGTTAAAACAAAAAAAATAATAATAATGTAAAGAACTAATGTCAAGCTTAAATTTCTTGGAAATTATGAAAAAAATAAAGACCAAATCTCATGATTGAATTGGGAAGTAGCTACCAAAAACAAGATTAAAAAATATAATATTTTTGGATTTTTCAAAATTTTATAATTTTTTATTTTTTTAAATTGTTTTAAATTTTTAGAAATAAAACAACAGGATTGAAAAACAAATGAAGATAAGAATAATGAAAATAAACAACAAATGAATAGAAAAAAGAAAAATAAATGTGTAAAGCTCTTGGACAAAGAAACTTCCCAGGTTTAAAGAAGATGTACATGGAAATCCACCCCCAAACTTGAACTGTTGTATTGGCAACACGATGAAGTGGCTCCACTTTTTTGCATAAGTACAAAACAAAGGGTAAGCTAAACAAGAGACTTAGAAAATAATTTATTATTGAGAAAAAGAAAAACTAACAGTTAACATTAAAGCTAAATCAACTAAAAGATGTGCCAATCCAATTAAGTAAGTAATAGAATCAAATTTGATCCCCTGCAATGGTGCTAGAAACTTGCTGTGAAAATTAGATAACCGAAATTAACCTCATTAAGTCTCGAATTTTAGTGCTCGCAAGTATACAAATCGAATGACTGTATAGCATATAAGTATGGATATTGTCCCACAGAGATTGAAATTGATTCTCAAAATCTTACTAATTAAATTGAAATAAATTATAATTGAGAAACTTTAATGTAAAAGATAGAGAATTTGAATTAAACTAAAATGAAATACAACTTGAAAATAATATGAATGAAATAATAAAATTAAAATATAAGAAAAATAAGGCTTAGGGCATCCGAATTTACTGTAACCAATTCTACTTGATTCCCTTAATATGTTGTGCTCAAGTAGTTCTCCAATATTGATGATCGATTTTCCTTAATTATTCAATGGCATGACATCTGGTTGCATCAAAAGCATCCTTACATGTTAAGAGCTATGGAAATCGTTGGAAAATCACACAAATCCTAATTGCATAGCATCTACAAATAGGTGTTTGTGGTATCAATTGCAAGAAGCTAAACCCAAGTTAAGTATGTCATCTACTCTAGCTTGCATTAAATCAACTTAATTGAAACCTTGATGGTGATCAAGCATCTAAATAAAAATCAAGTGCATTACGATTAGCAAACGATACTCATTAAGGAAGAAAAACTTGATAATAATAATGCCACAAGACAATTAAGTATTCATAATCAGACTGCATCGTACCCTTAAAAAAGGAAAACAAACAAAGACACGTTTTCTCCTTTGCCTCTTCCTTGCCGCAGCCCCTATGTCGAATTGTGGTTTTTTTTTTTTTTTTTCTTTCTATTTGTTGGCTGACTAACTAAAAAACAAGGAGAATAAATCTCCTTATTATAACCTCGTGACAAGAATTGGAAAGGTTAAGTGAAAATGCCAAATAAATGAGCACTAATCCTAGCTCTAATGGACTTTCAAGTCCTTATGAAAGAAAATGAAAAATAACGGAAATAATAGAAACTAATAACTAAGTTCTCTCCTATACTCCATTCAATAGCATCCCTATGTTCATTTGATTTTCAAAACCGATGTAGTCTCATGCATTTGTCTTGGTCTAGTTGATTGCTTCTTGCTCCACTGAAATTACTCTAGACACTCAAAAAGCTCATTTTTTCACTTTTTTTTCCATAACTGCGGTTTTGAATGCCTAAAGATAGAAACAATATAATTTAGTGCATTTAACTCATTCGATAATACAAAGTCAAAAGAAAATAGATAATAAAAATTATATGAATATGATCACATCAGAAAGTTGCATCTAGTTAGATTCATAATCTAGGAACTTTTGCTAGTTTCTTCATTAATTAGTAGAGAGTAATCACTCCGGCGAATATGATTTGTCATAATCTAGGAACTTTTGCTAGTTCATCTTATGTAACCAGTTTCGGTCAAGAATGGTGTTGTGGGGAGTCAGGTAATGCATTACGTGGAAAGTCACCAGGTGGTTATAGGGTTTTTCTTGGACCGCTAGCTTCACCATTCCCAAAGATTGTACTGGTGCCCTGTTGAAAGTGAAGGGTTGTCTTTCCTTTGTTGACGCTATCGAGAATTCTCATCTTTTTTTATGGCGAGTGGAAATGACACGAAATTAATACGGTTGTCAATCACCTTCTCTTCAAACTTTGTAAGATACTAAGGTGATCATGCAGAATGTATGAAATGTAATGATTTTTGAAAAATCAACCAATTATGAAAATCACAAACCACATTTTTATAATTGATTTCTTGTTAAAGCACAATAAAATTCAGTGATTAAAATAAGAATTAATATTTTGAAACCGCACAAATGCAAACTGATTTTTCTCTCTCAAAATACTTGAAAATCATTCTGTATGTCATAGGCTGCTATAAGATTTTTCTCTCAAAAATTATTTCATAGACTAATAGCAACGTACAATTAGAATATCAATACACATGCCGCATAAGAAAAGAGAAAACGAAAACTGGGGTTATGATGCAGACTCGGGAAAAACCTAGAGCATGAAGTAATGTCTTTCCAAAATAAATGACACGGCAACAACTTGAAACTCATGCATATGCGGCAGCCATAAACAAAACCACAGAACCTACTTTCATGCTGCGCCCAAAACCCAAAACCCTATTGTGCTGCTCTCGGTATTATCTGTTTAATCCCGTGTGTGTTACATGAAGCAGCAGCGTTTTAAAAGGCTAAGTCTAATCCTATATATAATATCCAACCAATGCAATTAAACCAAACGTGGATCAGTTAATGCATTCAAAATAGATATGCATATGATGGGTTAAAACAAAACAAAAAACTCTTGTAATTATCAACTTGATAAACATGCAAAATTGTCAAGTTAATTAGATGTTAACTAACATCCTATACAAACACGGGAACAAAAGTGGACTGATTCATTAAGTCCAAACCTACAGTTTAGTCCATAACATATAATCAAATCAGGCAATTCTTAAGTTCAAAAACATGCAGCCAAAACTAAATGTATTTGCATTTGAACCAAGATAAACCTAACTACATGAAATCTTTATGCATGACAAACTTACCTGAGTGGATGTCTTTGAAACGTTGGTTATTATTCTGATCAAGAGCACGAGAGACAAATTTAGACTAAGATAAATAAAACCAAAAACCTGCACTAGTCTAATAAGACATTACAGACTCAGGTGTTTTGTTTAGGAATTGTCAATTTTATCCTAACAATGCATCTTACCAGGGCATTGAAGATTTGGACTTTGACGACGAGGACATTGTCATGAGGTGAATGGACGTCTTCCAAATCACGGTCTGAAAACATTAGGATGTTAGGATCGATCGCTAGTGGTTTATTGACGGGAGCCACCATTCTTGGTTTCTCACAAGCCGCTTTTCTTTCTTTTTGGGTATTTCCCAAATATTCTTGGTTGCTGTATATACAGTTGACCTCAGAGGATGCTTCTTCCCTCAAGTACTGCACAAGGTTGATACCAAGAAGTCTCCTAGATTTTCTAGTATGTTTCTTTGGGATAGGGCGTTGAGATGACTCCTCGGACGTCAAGTCAATCGCCTCTGTGTTTTTGGGCAACCAATTCTTTGAAATGAATAATAGCTTCTTTCCATGACGTCTTCCCACATCTCGTCGATGGTAGCAACATCATCGTACCCCTGATGGATACCGTCCTAGGAGGTGACAAAGCTGATGTGGTTAACTAGGTTTTCTGATATATTAATTGGCAGAGTAGTTTTGTCAAGAGGAATATGAGTTCACTCTCAATAAAAGCACAAAATGTTACCAATTGGTTTCTTCATTATTTGTAACAGTTCTTTAAACTAGGTAAGGGATTGTGCCGGCCAAAGGCTATCCGATGGTCAAGTTAGTGAATGATTTTAGACTCAAGCAATGGGCAAGAAAATTCAAGTGCACAAATTGAGTTACCGTAGATGAACCCTAATAAGTAGGTATTGCATCATCTTAGGAGTGTGATTACCTGCGGTGCACACCTATCCCTAGATTGTAGGGACTTAAAGACTTATAGGACTTGATTGAGTCCATATTCAGATCAAATCCCGTGTTTTGCAGAACAAGCATGGATATCCAGCAGAGTCACTTGGACTCTGCCCGTAGCACCAGAGCAGATGATGATGGCACCCTGCTCTATCTGATAGAGCTTTGCCTGGAGTTGGTGAGTCCACGAACAGACTTCTGAGGTAACAGTACTCGTATCAGCCTTACTATGGCCCTAGAAAATCATGGCCCTACAATTGCCCCTTACTATCCATCTAAGAGGTAACTTTTTCCTTGAGGATGGATAGTTACCAAAGACCATGCATTTCAGAGTGAGCT